TTTTTAACCCGACTGGCTTTACAAATTGCCGGCATTATTGAGCTTATTATAAGCACTATTCTGAGGCACTGCCAGCCTCTCTTCGACTTGTGCTTGCAGGTCAGAACATGTCTTACGCCTAAATACCGATCCCACTTGTTCATCCTTGCTGTGCACTGAAGGAGGAAGTCAGTTTTCCAGTAAGCAGCTTTTAGATTCTCAAATTATAGTATTAGCGGAATTTTGAGCCATCTTATTAAGACCACGAAGTGAAAAAATTCAGAAGCTAATTTTAGGTTTTTGACCCTATCCATTTAAATGTAGCTAGGAAATATGCTTCCAAAATTTTAGTCTCTCCTGCTCCACAGAGAGAACAAATATAAAAATTACACACAAGCGTACAGACAAATAGGCAACAATATTGACAAAGTGGGATTTTGTGCAGAGAGGAGGGGCAAAAACTGTTCAAAGCTGGCTCAGAATTCGCAAAATTGATATATTTTCTTTTTTATCAAGCTTGCTTGAGGAGACAGCCTACATACGAAAATTTGCCACGAAAATCAAAAAAGTTATTTAATTTCTTGATAAAAGTTAGAATTCCTTTGATGCAACAATCATTATCAACTGTCTCCCTCGTAACAACTTTTTTTTTTGTTCTGCAGATCGATGTTTCCAGCTGCGCCGCAAACGGAAAATTTTGAATGTTTGTATTTTTTGTATGTGTCTATAAATGTGTGCAATATACAGAACGGGCGCAGTCCTGCCAAGTGATCTTGTATAAGGAAAGTACTGAGGCACTGAGCGAACGAGGGGCCATTCGCCTGCCGCCGTCGCCGAGACTGACAGATCATATTTTCGAGTTGCTGGTGCTTTATGCTGTCTTTATGTATTGTGTCTGAATTTGTGTTTTTGTTCAAATATTATAAATTTTTTATCTGTAAAGGCTTTGCCCACAGAGACTGTTCACGGACATATGGCCCCATTATAAACATTCTCCTGGAATAATTGTTCCATCAGCGCACAAACAGCTCTTGGCCAAAGTTTCGTGTTTATCAGTAATGAGAATTAGCAAGCTGATCAAAGTGATATAAGCACAGAAGTGACTGATTTAAACAGCATAGGAAAAAACTTAAGCTATTTAAACTTCAGCGAAGTCTTTTTGCCAAAGACCGCTTCTATTATAAAACGTTAATATGAAAAAATTTTAAATTAAATAATGCGAAGTTTGATTTTGAATCCGAAAAACGCTCACTAGCTCTTGTTGTGTTTGCTCATTAAAGGTGATCCTAGAAGAGCGACAGTTCGGCGAAATTTGCGTCAGTGACGATGATGCGCCTGATGCGCTCGCCCCCGAACTTGAGCTTCCGACAGGTGCGGCAGAAGAGGGTGCACTGTTGAGACCAGCGGTTGTTGAGGTTCGATTAGCAGACGCCAGTGGCGATATACCACTTGCCACTCCAAAGCTGTTGTATGCTGCTGCAATTTTAAAAAAATAAAGTTGTTTGGCGACGAAGGAAATGGGTATTATTGACTGTGAAGTTAGCGCCGCTGCTTGTAATAATAACCAGCTCAATAAAATTGAGTTTAAGATTTCAGTGTAAATCATTTTAAGTTCACCCTACTGAAATCCAAGCAGAATAGGAGACATCTGGAAAGAATGATACCGAAAAAGACGGAATGAGGGGAAGAAAGGTCGAACGTGTACAAAGTGTACATTTTTTGACACGGAGTTAGTTGCAAGAACAACTTTGGTTTGCTGCATCAAAAAATTCGAGCTTGAATAGCGTAGGAATTGAACAATGTCAATCCGAAACCTAATTCATTGAATTTCAGTTGTTAAACAATTTAATTTAAAAAGTTCAAAAAAGTCACGGAAGGGCACACTTTGCTAGCACACTTCTTCCAAATAACGAAATTAATGCACTTTTTTAAGATGATAAGCAGCAAAACGGAGATTTGATAGAATGATCTGTGGATTCGGCTCACCTTGATTTGTAGGATTCATATAGTTAGGGGTGTAATACGTTGGCAATGATCCATTCGCAAGGCTATTGCTAGT